GTGGCCCTTTCGGCAGCATTTTGCTGGCGGTGCTCGTGTTATAATCTTTGACAACTATCGGCATACATGTGGCAGGCAGGCCAGGGGGCTGCATACCCCATTGGGTATCATCTTGGCTCTGGCACTTGATTTGCTGACTGGCCGAGTGCAACAGCTGCCAACTGCCAACTGCCAGTTGCCAGTTGCCAGTTGCCCCACTGCCCATTGCCCATTGCCCCGTTACCAGTTGTGGCTTTTAGTCCACCCAACGCTCACTTGACTGCTATTTGCTGAGCATCTGAGCAATGAGGCCTTGTTCTGACCCACAATAGCTTTGTTGTTGTGACGAGCAGTAGCAGAAACAGGAATAAAGCCTGAAGTTGGCCCAGGATTTATTTTACAGCTGCAGTGGGTTTGTTTGCTTTATGACTTTTCGTTTCGCCTGCTCGGCTTCGACATTAACTGAAATTGAAAATTTGCTGTCAACTTTTGTCTTGTCTCAATTTCTGGCATTTACAATTTTTAATAGCATGCAACTCAAGTTTCAACCGCCTTACCTGCCCTGCGGTCGGCTCGCCTCCCTGTTGTCTTGACTCCCTGGCTGTCACTTGGCTTACCTTTATGGCCGTGTGGCTAGCTAGCTAGCTCTTTTCTATTGTCATATTTATGAGAAAATACTCGAGTCGAGAGTCCGACGGACTGGACACCTTTTGATTGGCATCCAGCATGCGGCACACGCCCACCAGCAGGGCACCACAAAGTACTGCATAATTGACATACTAGTCGTCTAAATTACAACATTTCTACCTTTTTGCCCTGGTTTCTACCTCCGCCGTCTCTGAGACGTATTTTGCATATTTGCGAATATTTCAATTCTATACGAAATTTGCATTTTAATGTCTTGTTGCGGCTGCTCCTGCTGCTGCTCCTGCCACTGCTGCCCAATAAAATGTGCTGATGGGTTTTAATAATTCACAGCTTACTGAAGGTTTTTGAATGAACTGAATTGTTTTGCTATTGTATTGAATGAATGTAAATACAAACTGCACTGAGGCTCGCGCCTTCATCAGGAAATCAATTAAGCTGGCTGGCTAAGTGGACCAACATTGAGAGAAAGACAAAGGCTCTTTAATACATTGTTCATACGCCACGATTAGTGCACTCACTGACCTACAAATACAGCTCCGTTTCCTTCTGGACGTCGACAATCGATGAGCAAACAGAGTGCCATTTGTTTCAATTACGATTTTGCAATTGCACAGCCAAATGCAATCATATAGACAATTGCGCATCAATTGCTGCAGATTCGAAATGTTTACTTTGTGGCCTTTGCTTGAGTTATGTATCTATGGAATTTCATATGCTTTCTTGGCTCTCAATTATTTCAATATAAATGCGTGCTGGCCAAATTCCATTTCTGCATTTGTATTGCTCTGATTTAATATAATTAAATATTTGTGCAGACACATGCTAAGTAATTTGCTCCGTTTATTTAGATACCTGTTAATTGTATAGTTTGCTTTATGCTTTGTGCTTCTACTGCAGAAAGTTAAGTTGTCTTTTATTTCAAATGCATCTTGACAATGCATTTTATTCTCTTCGGAACTCACATAGGTGAGTTCCCATTGAAAATGGGAAATCAGGGAATCATCGCAGACCCCATAAAGTATATATATTCTTGATCAGCACGACGAGCTG